CAGCAGAATCAGTGACCAAGACATTAAAATAAACCTGGGGGAGCCCTAAAATTTAACAGCTGTTAAGTAAAACGGAACTTCACAATTCCAGATTGAGCATTCCCTTCACACGCACATGTGCTCATGTGCGTGTGCCTTAGTCAGACTTCTAAAAGCCTCTCAGTGTGTATGAATCCTACATTGTTTTCTGACGCTTAGCATGAGATCTTCTCCCCTAGGACGGACTTTTGGCTAACGCAGCAAAGGCACTGCATGTTAATATTTATTTGTTTTGAGATGTGAATGTCACTACTGCTGTCCCTCTGTGTGGAAGCAGGCGATGATGATTATAAGCCAAGCCAATAAAGTATAACACTGAGGAGCATGCAGAAGGGGTCACTGAGCTCTAGAGGTCTTCTCAGGTGGGGTCGCCTACCCACACCAGGTCCTTTCATGTAAGCCTGCTTTCCAAACCCTCACTGCTGGACTGACAAGACTGTGGTCCTTGTGAAATTCTTCCACTTTGGGTTGCTGTCATCCTTTATATGCAATTTTACAAACCAGGAAGAAAAAAAAAACTTGTAGTACTAAACAGCATCAAAAACTAAAAATAAAAATGACAGTATCCATTTTATTGTGAAGTAATGCAACTCTTGAGCATGTTATGTATATTTCTATTATCTGGCACTTTCTTGCTTAGCGGTTTTAAATGTATTTTTTATTGCTTTGAGCAGTGCTTGTTAAGATGAAGGCGTGAGATATCTTGTCAGGCAGTGACACAATATTGGATCACCCTTTTCTCCACTGTGGGTCTCGGCTGGTATGGATTCTTTTTGTGGTCTTTTGTCCTCTTCTAATAATAGAAACCTTACTGGGAGAGCGTGATGATGAAGCATGCATAGTGCAAAACCATCAATGTGAGCATCCGGGAGAAATATAGCATTTTTCCTCTAAGGGGCACATTCATCTTAAAACCAGCAACTTGCTGATTCTTATAAAAATGAAAAAGCAAAAGGGGCTACAGAGATAATATATAGTCTTACTTGTCAGTGAAGCACCTTGCATCTCATGTGTAAAGAAATGCAGGGTTTACTTCAGGCTCTGTAAGGCTGGGGCTGCTTATTTACCTGATGTTCTACCTCTGTGCACAGCCTGAAGTTATCAAACTGACAATAATTGTTTTTAACTGCAGATTCCACCCATTGTCAGCAACAAATAAGCAGAACTGCCACAGTGCTTCCTGCGAAATGTCCTGGTCTCTGCCAATGACCTTGACACTGCCTGTGTGCCTTTTATAATTCATTAAACTCCTCTCTGGTCGCATTACACACCACTGCCTCTCCTCCCTTTGTACATGCATTATAGCATTACACATGCAAGAAAAATAAAAAGAATTAACAAAACAGATTGGTGGTATTAAATTAATTCCAATAATTGCAGTGTGCGTGTTTCTCTTACATCAGAAGTGGATTTATTTTGCTTGACATAATCAAAACTGAAAGTTGTGTTTCGGTGGTAAGGAGACACTATCCAAGTCTCACCACCCAATTTGATAATCATCATTGTAATTGTAGTAACGACAATGTTTTTTTTTTTCATTTTCCCAAGCTATGGTCTTTGATTAACTGCAAAAATATATTGAGTTGTACAATACTGCAGCACAGTCTCACATAATGAAATGTGTGGATGACAAAGGTTAGGAGAATCATTCTTGATTAGATGGGACTCGTTCAGATGTTCTCTAAAGCGCTTTTAGTGGAGCTGTTTGTTTTTCCTCTCTGAGTTAGTAAGTAAGAATAAGTAATTAAGTGCCTCAGAAAACAAAAGGATATGTCTGCATCTTCAGGTGTGTGTGTCTCTGTGTGCAGGTGGACTTTCAAGTGCTGGTACAGGTCAAGATTTTCGGGAAGTTCATTTAGAGACTTCGGGTTTACACTATTGGAAAGTCTTATCATATTGAAAACATTGTATTAAAAAAATCAATAAACAGCAAATCTAGGTTTCTGAAGGTGCCTGAGCTTTAAATAATGTGTAATTTCTTGAAGCTGGAAAATAAATTGAAAGGATTTAGGCGGATTTGCTTATCTGTTGGACACCATGAAGCATTACATTTCTAGGGCTTGGGAAAGCACATTGAAACTAGTTAATCTGCAGTGGTTCAATATTACGTTTCCCCTCACAGTCAGGCCATTTTGAGCAGGGAAAGATTAATCCCCTAGTAACAGATGGATGTTAAAGACTTACACGTGGGAGAAACAAGTTTTCACATTGTTATTACATTGGATTAGTCCATTTCTGCTGAACAAAAGCTACACTGTTGGTTACAATGATATAAAGGGGTCACAGGTCACACAGTATTAAATGATTTTTATAATCCTAATACATAACTTCCACTGTATAGGTTATTAAACCTTGTGAAGGATCATTTCATGGTCGGCGCAGAAATCAAATTGTTTGAATATTGAGCCTTTGGAGGGGAAATGACTTCAGTCAATCATATTTTCCGTTCCTTTGTGGACCTTGCTGTGTAACAGGGATGAGTCTGTTTTCTGCCACACTAATCAATATGAAATGAATAATATCATTCAGACCATTAGGACTTCAGGGAGGACAGGTGTTTTTCTGTGGTGTGTTTTTGATGTGCTTTGACAAAGGGAATGGCTTTTTACAAACAAAAGCCCAAAGTGCAATATTCAGGAAGTTGTGGTTTAAGTGAGCCGAGCACCTAGAGAACGATATTTCATCAGGCCGTCAAGCTCAAACATATTTATGGTCCCATGTTCTTACTAGAAGTGTGATCTTCATCATTCTTTGTGTTATTTATAATTTCATAAAGCTGTTCTATGACAGTGCTTATTTTATCCCCCTTCTAATCTGTTCCTAATAAAGACATGTCAAGAGACCACAGTGAAGAGTTATAGGGCTGCCTGCTGAGCACGCTGCAAGTAAGGGGAGACTAGGGGATAAATCAGAACTGTGGGCTACTGAGGTGAGGAGATAATCTCCACACGCTTTGCGAGAATCAGGCTTTTCCCTTCAATAGCAATGATCTATAGTAATGAAAATCCATGCAAACTATCAGAAGGGGAAGATTGAAGTGGCACTTCCTGTAAATAATTAGAAGCTGGCACCTCAGAAAGACAAAAAAAAACCTAAATATATTGTCTTCACAAATATTGAATCAACGAATGAAATATAGACTTGAAAAATATAACACTTTTTCAATTACTGTTCAGATTAAAAAAATAAAAATGATAGACTAAAGTAGAAATGTATTAACAAATCTCATTCTTAAACACACTTGTAATGAATTTAGTTCAGTAGTCTTTTTGATAAATAACATCATTTGTACTGTACATTTGCTTGTTATTTCACTTTTTTCTGCAAGGGGACCTTTAATAAAAAAGGAATGCTTAAAAGGAATCTGTTCATTATCAAGTTTTTACAAACCCACAGAGTGACTTTCCAAATGTGGTCCTGAAACTATTGTGTTTTTAGGTTGGAGCCCCACATGCATGGAAAGACTCATTAAATCAGCAGTCCTGTAATAATAGGCTATTCAATACCATCCCAATCTCTCAAAACTAATAACATAAAGGCATTTTGGCAGTAAATGTCAAGCTGGGTACGGTGATTACTAAGACATAATAACAATACTTTATTTTTTTCAGTTGTTATTAGAAATTCCTTAGAAATTTAAATATGAAAGTCATATATTTACTAACTTTAAAACCAATGTCACCAAGATCCCTAATTTGTGGAATAAATTACTGTCCGTCTATGAACACAAATGATGATTGTCGAGTTGTGTTGAAAGCTGTATTGTTTTGAGTAGTCATGTATAAATACTCCAACATTGGATCTCAGTGACCCATCAGTTTCATGACTTTGTTTTTGAAGTAAATCCATAACAGACAGCTTTCTATTGAGTGAAACCACCATTAGGATGAAACTGAAACTGAAACATTGTCTTCTGGAACAATGTTCCCAAATCCCTGAAGAACTTTATGCAAAAATGAAAATGCTAATTATCTGAGCTTCAATTAAAACAGGAGCTAGCTTTTTGTCAAACTGCACACATCTAATTTTATGGTGTTAGAAAATTAATTCTAAGAAAACATTGTAATGAGAATATCTGTATTCATAATAGTGCCAATATATTTTTAACTTTCATCTTTTCGTATTCTTTCTTGAGTATTATGGTGCTGATGTGAGGAAGTTTAAGGTAGTGAAGTGAGTTTTCCCCAGTGCAAAGTCTTTAAATGAGATTTTACTGTAATTAACATCCAGAGTCACACCTTTGAAATAGAAATTATTGTGTGAGTTGTGTGAGCTTTTCCTGGTTGAATAAAACTGTCAGACTTTAGGCTGCATATTTACCAACAGTTAGCAGAACAATTTTTGACATTGTAATTGTTTTTGGATACACATTGTGGGTATTCAGAGAATTCCACCTGATTTAAACAGGTGAGAGGAACATTTTATTGGGTTTAAACAAAACAGAGAAACTTTTGACTTCTTATCATTATTTATCCACAGACTCAGCAGCAGGAACTACTAATCCTGGTCCTACAGGGCCTGTGTATCCGCAGGTTTTCCATGTCTCTTCACAACACCACCAGCTGAAGAACTGGGAAGTGCGTAAACTGGATCAATCAAGACAATAGCGAGCTGATTTAGGTTGTTAAAAGCCCAGCTGGATTGAAAACACATAGACACCCCAATCTTCCACTATCTGCGGACTGCAGACCCCCTGCTCTCCAGAACTCTCCAGCACTGTCAAACACCAGACCTTCCAGGCCTTTCTAATTCTCCTCTGGGACATACTGTAACTCACTGCTTAACTACATCACTGACTGTTAGTATGAGAATCAACGAGGGGTTGTTCTCGGATCCTGCAGTGGAAGGGGTTTGACCTGCTATGCAGTTCCAGTTATGCAGAATTAAAAAGTGAGAAAGGAATTAATTTAGGTTTGTTCCTTCTTTCTTGTGTGTTTCTTTCTGTGGTGGCGGGGTCAAAGACCACAGATGACATTGTCTCCTCTGCGGAGTGCTCTAGTGACGATGAGGACCTGGAGGAGTGTGATTCCGGACACACAGGTGGGCTAGGTTAGTTTATCTCTGCTTGCTTTAACATTTTTATTTTAATTTGCAATGGAGGATCTAATCCTTAAAGCATCTTTCCCATGGAACCACAAAGTGTAACTGCAAATAATTAGTAAATTAGAAAAGAAATGTGCACACACTGTACAGGTTAAGCTAAAAGTAAATCTGTATCTATTAATGGTTTTGTTTCTAATGAATGATAAGCATATTCTGAGCTCCACATATAAATCCTTACAAATTGTACATTAAAAGTCAACAAATAAGTAATGAATTGTAAGTCACATTAATCCCAATTATTGTTATGCAAACATTAAATAAGGCTACACTTGTCCATGGGATTTGCAAAGTGGTTAACATGGTAATATAGTTATGCTAATTTTGTTATCTCAGCATTTGAATGAGAGCAAAAAATCTTTAAGCACAAAAGTACAAAATTAGCATTAACAAATGCCATGTTTTCTGCAGTGATGCTTCAAAATGTATCATACTTGAGGACACTTGGCCATGTGGTATTGACTTGCATTTTTGATAAATGATACATTTTGAGATTTTAAAATTTGCTTTTGGCAAAAATTACACTGTAATATCTAGCAGATTAACTGCAATTCAACTAGTTATCTTCTTTTTGTTCCTTCATTTTTAGAGGCTTGCCCTAAGTTAAACATTTTAATAGAGAACAGATATCATCGAATTTCTGTGTACAATTTTTTTGTTTTGTTTTTTTATAGTTTTATTTAAAGGTGAAAGTGCTATACTGCCTATGTTCTTTTTAAATAAAAAAAATACAAAACCTAATGTCTAGAAAATGTAGGTTTAAAGCATAACTTACTCTGAGTTAACTTCTTTTGGAAGAACTTTGGAGCAGACCTGTTTTTCTGGGTAAATTTTCAAGATCACAAGCAGCCAGTCACGTAGCTGTAATGCAGTAACAAAAGTTATTTTAAAAGTGTTTGTAAATTTATTCTTATATCCTGTTAAATTGGGTTGCATGTAATTTTCAGCTCCCATATAGAATTTCACTCCCAGTGACGTCAGACACTTATAAATTGTGTGCAGAATTGAGCTGCTGAATTAGTGCTGTACTGGCAGAGAAGCTGCTTGCTCTGGAGGCAGGATGAGCTGGTGCCCTCGCTGTCTTGGCCTGAGCAGTGCCTCCATCCAGCTGTGACGGGGATTCCCCAGGCTGGCACGGCCAGGGTAGTGGGGCAGGACCCTACCAGCTTTCAGGTCCCCCTGTGACGGTGATGAGAAGGAGTGTGCAGCTGGCATTGTGGCACAGCAGGAGTGGCTCAGGCAGGTGCCCTCCAGTTACAGGATCCTACCTCTGTAGCACAGGACTTGTAGACATTCAAATAATTAAATACAGTGCCATCCGATATCAAACAGCTACTTATTCCTGCTTGTGCCTGCAGCAACCTGCAGCCCATTTCAGAGCATAACTACCTGTCCACTACAGGGCACAGGACAGCACAAGACTGGACCCCACCCTAGAGATGACACCTGTCCATCACAGGGCACACCCTGGACAGGCCACCTGTCCATCACAGGGCACGAGACAGAACACACCTTGGACAGGACACCAGTCCATACAGGACATAAGACAGAAGCACAACCTGGACAGGACACCAGTCCATCACAGGGCACTCACACATATGCAGACACACAGAAGTAAAAGACACTGACCAATTTGGCCACAATGTGTCAGCAGGCTACAACCGACGCAGAAGGCACCTCAGTCCAGAATCAAGCCCAGGGCATAAGAGCTGTGAAGCACCACGGTGCCCAATAGGACCTTAAATTTAGAATCGCAGACTGTTTTCAGTTTCAGGGTGCTCCGTGCAGATGACCTGTTCATGTGCAAAAACATGAAACCAATATTCTTCAAATATTAATATTACAGTCATTTCCTCCTTTGAGATAGCAGTGGAGGTGCTGAATCATTATATAGATCAATAAACTCAGGATCTGCTTGCATTTGCCTGCTTTTAAGCATTTCTATTACTAGAATTTCAAAAATATATTTGGGAAGCCCTTTTTAACCTATCAAATTTCACAAAGAATCCTTTGACATTCTTTGTTTATGTAGATTACTCAAAAAAGGTCTTTCTTCTGTACTATAACCCATCTATTTTCTGGGTCAAATTACTTTAATAATTTCACAGACCCTTCAGTCTTCAGTGGGTTGTGCAGATTAATCATTTTCTTAAGTGGCATTGCACCTGTTTCACAAAATTAGCATCAGGATCTCATAGGTTACAGGAACATGACTGGCTGATTTAAGTTTTGTTGCATTTTATCATGGTTAACCTGAAGGTTAGATCCTAAGTTCTCCCAATGAGTATTTTAGAGTAAGCTATTTAATAACAAAAAGAAGTTGATTTCTCGTTTGTCCCAATAGCCCCCTGAGTTATTATAATAGAAAAAAAGACAGATATCAACAGCCCCTGTCATCCAATCACATGTTTACACAGAAATTCACGCCTTCATTTTAACCCCAGCATCAGCTGAAGTGGACAGTTGCATGACATGTGGTTTATTTTGTCAAGCACGAGTGTTTTTTTTATTTATTTTATTTTAATTTATTTTAGTATAATTTCTGGTTTCTTGGTTTTTAAGTTGGTTCCTATGTTGGTGTCCTCATCTGCCAGTAACTCCAGAATAATACATTTCTGTCTTTTCTCCTCATCTTGTGCCGCATGAATTTTTGGTGGTTAAAAACAATTTTCTTTAGTTTTTTTTTCTTTAATTATTTGTGCCGTATGGCTTATACTGGAACATTCCCATTTTTGATTAACAAAGCAAATGAAAGGCAACAAAATCTTTTCTTGCCATCAATTTTTTTGGCCTTGCGTGGGCAACCCTAATCTGTCTGAAGAAAGTTGTGTGCGAAAGAATGATTTTTTTTCTCTTTCCTACTCCCTTCCTCCTCCTGTTGTAGCCGTTCTGCATATAAATGTTTTTTTTAATGCAGATGGCATAAAAAGAATTTTATTGCCACAAAGTATATCTGTTTTTCTATTTTATTTGTTGATCTTAAAAGTCATTTGTGGCATGCAATAGCTGTAGCTTTTAACTAACTAAAACCAACTTCCTCGTGACTTCCATTTTACAATGCATGGACGTTGATGGTGCCATTGTGTGTTTACTTCATAGCTGTGCAATCAGGCTAACCCAGCCAGCCTGTACTGTTTATTTCAAGTTCAACATCCCTAAGAGCAGCAGTGCTAGAAACCGCTGCTGTATGAATTCTCTGCAGCTCTGTCTGTCAGTCTGTCCGTGTCTGTCTGTATCTTGAAGTGTGCTGTTAGTGTGGTGTCCCGTGATTTCGTTCTCTGTCTGTAACACTGTCGGATTTTCCCTTGTCCCTGGTGGAATTCCATAAGAGGGATATTCTCCAAAATTAAAAAGGAAAATCATTAAAACTAAAACAAATAGATCCGAAATTCGTGTTTACATTTGGATAAGTACTATGCTTTCTAACCTGGCACTAATTGCTTCAACAAGCATTTATGAAATTATTTACTGCTTTGCTAAAGGGAGATATGTTTTAACGGTTATTAATACAGATGTGAATACATGATAACTTCATTATACTGTTCCATCATAATTAATAGAATACGTTTATCAAGCCTGGCATAGTTACTTAGGAAATGCAGAAGGGCTCTGCTTGATTATTGTGGGATGGTTCTATCTTAAAGCATTTTGCTCTCGACAAGAAGAGGTGAAAATATCAAAAGAGTAAGTGCATTGTCTCCCAGGAGGTCTAATTAGTGGGGTAACTGTTACCTTGCTACAGGATAGCTCAGGTTCAGTGTGCTGTGGCTGAATTTATTTTAAAACAAATGTGATATACTATATGTCCGATCTTGGATTATTTTACTTCAGGATCTGCTATTAAGCCACTCAACATATATCATTGTTCCAAAACTGATGTATATTTATACGTATTTAAAACTAGCCAGTAGATTTGAACCCTGTCATATTCTAATATTAGATTTTTGTCTTTGTTTATAATCACAATTGCTTTGAAAATGTGGACAGCCTGGCAGGGAAATGCACATGTTAATATCAGATTCTTATACTCTTATTAAGGGAAGCACAATTTCTGTTTTTCACACACCACTGAGAAAGTAAATAAATGTCACCTTTAATGTTAGATGAAAAGTCATAACTTGGTTGGTCTCAAATCATATCTGTTTGTTCGCTCAGGTTTCATTTCGGCCACCTATAATGAAATCATCACAGAGAAAATGAGTAACATCAACCCTCCAGGCCAAACATAGGAATAATTGTGGGCAGCCTGAGATGAATATTGCTCTGATTGCAATCAGACATTGGCAGGTGTTACATATGAAGCTTTGGAAGAACACACTACAGATCAATACTTTACATGGGTGAAGTAGGTATAAAAAGAGACACTGTGGTCAGTGTATTTACTGAGAAAAGAAAATGGAAAGACAGCAGTAAACCCATTATTGGTGGGGTGAATTCACTATTGGCCAAAAACCAACTGAAATTTCTATTAATTCCCTAAACCGATCCTGCTCCTCCTCGCCCTTGCATTCTTTTGCTCTCATTCATCTAAACTGAAGCCTTAATGTAGATTAAAAACCGAATAGATGTTTTCGAGTTACAAATACATGTTTCTAGGTTCATATAAAACTCTCGAAGTTTCAAAGTTGAAAACAATTCAAAATGTAATTAATAAAGTATGAGTTAAATGTGAGGTCCAATTAAACAATCAAGAGCTCAGCTGGAAAAAAGGCCCTGGGGTGCTGGAGCCAGGCAGACCTGGATCCAGAATCTCTGATCTAAAGGCTTTTGACTTTAAAAAAAGACAGAAGGAAATTTCGCATCTGTTTGAACTCGAAATGTGATAATTGAATTTGTTAAAAAAACATATTTTCTCTGATCAAATAAACACTTCAGTTCTGCAAAAAGAGTGTTGTTTTGAGATGTGTTTCACACTCCAGACTCGAGATGTGTTGCTGCCGCTCTGGACC